TTTCCATTGATTAAGCACTGCTTCCAGCCAAGAGTGATACCACAAATCCCCTGTAGCTGCAGAAAAGGCTAACATTGTTATCTTTTCACAAAAAAACACCTGAACGTGAGAGGTTTTTGGACCAATTTTGTGTTCAACATTCTTTAAGCACCGGTTCGAGCACCGTTTAAGCACCGGCACCGTTTCAAAAGTACCGGTTTGGTACTGGTATCGGATAAAACCTAAACGATACCCATCCCTAATCACAGCAGCATGGCTCCACATTGGAAGAGTCCAGGTGCTGAAGTGAACTTCCTGCAGTCCAGTCCTTCGACAAATTGAAACCCTTGGTGGATCATGACATGAAAAATACAAGAAAGAAGACACAGCACTGTCGAACAGCTGGAATCCTGTATAAGGCAACATTCCTCTCCCAGAAGTTCAGCAGCTGGTGTCCTCAGTTCCCAGACTGTTGCTACAAGAAGAGAGAATGTGCTTTCCCAACATTTTTGAGACATGTTGCTGACATCAAGTTCAAAGTGGGCTAATACTATTCTTAAAATGGTACATTTAAACATACAATCTGTTTGCAGAGTTATATTGCAAATAAAATATGAGTTTTCTAATCATTCCATTTTGATTTTATTTACATTTTACACAGCGTCCCAGCTGGGGGGTTTTTTCAGATTGAGGTTGTGATACTTGTTGTGCTTGTATGGGCTAAAACTTCACCAAACCTCTGTTAATCCACTAAAAAAGCTCTAATCTAATTACTCGACATTTTTTTTAGTTCATCCGGTGAGGTTTTGAATCCATTTCATCTGCTCAAAGGGTCACACTGTTTCCACAAGACACAGAAGAACATGTAATCCTTCAAAGTTTAAGCATGAAACGCACAACTACAGCTGATTTGTGGGATGTGGGAAACACTTGATCGCATTAATCGCAGTAATATGATGGAGACTTATTCAGATCCAGATATTAAAGCTGCTGATGTATTTGCACCATCATTGCTGGCTAATGACGTCACTCTCCATTAATCGGAATGTAATGTTCCTGAATTTGCACTGTACATATGACCATCACCGCAAGCCTACAGGACGTAAGTCCCAGCTGACTTTCATAACCCTTGTGACTCTTGTTGAGGTTTGATGCACTTTTAGCACAGCGATATCAACTGCAAGAAACTTTGGCCTATATATAAAGTTACAATCACATGTGGTCTCAGTTTGGATGAGAATCAGCTCCAGTTAGCAGCACTTAGCCTAAATTAATGACTCACAGGTCTGGCATGACATCAACACCTTGGCATTTTGGTAGCCACTGAAATCATGTCCTCTTTATTTTATTTTAGCTGTTTTATGTGACTTTTGGAAGCTAAAGTAATGATACATTTAATCAACTAATTTGCTAGGTTGTTTTTTTTAGATTGGGTATGCTTAAATATTGCTACTTCTTCTTTAAAACAAGTTCCTCTGTTTAGGTGAGTATAAAGAGCAAAATAGGAAATTAACTTCAAATCAGGCCAAAAAAAACCAACACATTAATAAAACCGTCCCACCCCAAGGTTGAGAATTTGGCAGAGCCCAGCCCAGCATGTGTGTATGTGTGTGTGTACAAATGTTGGGAAATGTCAGCATATGTTATCCCACACTTGTTCTTATTAAAAGGAAACTTGAAACCCCCTCGGTGCTTTGATGACAGCAGTCCACGTGACCTTTTTCCTGCTTTTGGTGCTTTCTGCAGAAAGCCTAAATCCTATTAAATCGGGCACTGAATATCCTCCGGTTACTAAAGTCTCTAACATGATGCCAGATCTGCCAGTCCGATCTGAATATTCTGGCCTTTGTTTATGATTTCGGCTTTAAATAAACCCCTCTCATTTAGAAGAGATCTTGGGAAAGACATGTCTAATCTGATATAAAACTCATCCTGTTTTGGGCGGTTTTCAACAAATCAGTCTTGCTCCCTGAGAAAATGTCTGTAGTTGGATTAAAACCTCTTTGCTAATCTAAATATAATAATAAAAGTGCACTAGTTCATAAATATTTATTCAAGAAAGTGCATCACTTGCATTTTGAACCCTTGTAAGAGGCAGAGCTTTCGCTAGAAGAAAAAGCATCATGATTTTTAAAGAATGAAACTGACAGGATGACACAGAATTGTTAAAGCATTGAAGTAAAATCAAATTAATGTTTAATACTGAGGGAATGTTTTCATTTTGAGGAATGATCCCCGCCCTTCGCAGGTCAGCACCTGTTTCTTTTTAAAATGAAATGAAAACTAGAATACCCAGAACTGCTGACTCGCATTCCCGTAGTCTTTCAGACTATTTTCCTCTTTATAAATTTAATTTCAGAAGCATGTGTGAAAGTCGATGTGTCATCTCCTGATAAACTCGCCCACGAGGGAGTCTGCAGTCAGAGGGGCTTTAACGTAGGACACCGGATGTTCAGGTTACTCATCAGGAGCGGTACTCAGCTTTAAAAACATTTGAGTAATGAGTGTGACTGAAGGGAGGTCCTCAGTCTGACAAAATAAATATGATGATGATGTCATTGTGATGTCATCACATTTCATACTGAATGCTTAATGAATGAGTTGAGGGGCCACAGTGTACGTTACATAGTACTGTCACCCCTCGCTGGGTTATATTTGGCTTCCAGGAAGCCAGACTTCCTCTTCTCTTTTAAAGCGGTCTTTAGGAACAGCTCTCTGTGCTTTCTGAAGGACATTGGCCACTTTTTCATACATTTTCTGTCTACTCCATCTATCTGACCTTTTTCAGAGGAATTTGTGGAAATCATCAATCATTCAAGCAAAAAGAAGAAGAAAAAGAAGAAGAAGAAGAAGAAGAAGAAGAAGGTGCTCCTAGCTCAAGAGATGAATCTGTGCTGTCTACTTATAATAGACAACTTAGCAAATAATTACACAAGAACTGGACTGAAAATTAATGCTAACAGGTCACCGACTCCAAATTTGAAATTTTATGATTTGAATGGTTTTTAATATGTATGGCAAAGGTAAGGTGAGACTTACAGCAGGTATCTGTAAAATACAGTCAAGAGCAGTGGGCGAAGAGGACTCAATGGCAGAGCTCGGAGAGGTCAACTTAAGTGCATTTATTTACAGTGAAACACCCAGGTGAACTTACAAGTTGTGATGGGGAAACAGGGGCTCCTGGGATGCAAGGATCAGGGGCATCCAAATAATCCAAACTCTCCTCACTCAGCTCAGGCACTCTCTCCAAGCAATCCAGGGAGGGGGAATTCCAGGGAATGTCTGTATACAAAGGAAAGAACAGGGGGCAGGCAAAGAGCACACGCCACACTAAAGAGCTGAGGCTTTACTAACAGCATAGTTGAACAGTCTAGCAAAGAACAAAGCTCAGCCACTCGCCTCCTGATGAGCTCATCTGGAGCAGGTGATTGACTGTTGCAGGTGTGTTCAGCCAGAGGTGGGAACCCGTGATGCGTCCCACCCATGAACACAGACACACAACCACAGAGAGAGGAGAGGGAGACAGAGAGTAAACAAAGCCTGCAGCAGGCAGCTCAGGAGGACTGAGGGACGATGACACGGTGAGACTGTTTGGTTTAGGGCTACATTTCAGCCGGAGCTGTTGGGGATCTTGTCAAAATCCATCTTGAGCAAAAGGCAGCCAACATGGAAAGAAGAGCTTTGAATGTCCTCCAAGGAGTCTGGAGAAATATTTACTTCACCTGCTACCCTCCTGCTGATCGTCCCATAATCACCCCAGTGTGTATAAATAGTCCTGTCTGCCTCCTTGTCCTAGTCATACTGTTTCTATATTGTTGAAATCTAGTACACATTGTCATGCCTCCCTCAGTAAGGTTGTAATGATCATTGCAAATCTACCCGCATCTTCCCAAATAGCAAACACTAGCTTAATGTTGTGCATATGGTAAACATAGAAAAACTCAACAAATATCAGCATGTTAGTATTGCTCTTGTGAACGTGTGTGAGTAGTCTGTTCCCCCAAACTAATAAAAATGCTCAGACTGCCCCTTTAAAATTAAAAAATGCACGTGAAGCTCTCAATTTACCGGTCGATCTACGTCCTTACTCTCACCTATGGCCACAAGCTGTGGGTAGTGACCGAAGAACGAGATCGCGGATACAAGTGGCAGAAATGAGCTTCCTCCGAAGGGTGGCTGGCCTCTCCCTTAGAGATAGTGTGAGACGTTCAGCCATCCGGGAGGGGCTCAGAGTAGAGCTGCTGCTGCTCCACATCGAAAGGAGCCAGCTGAGGTGGTTCGGGCATCTGACAAGGATGCCTCCTGGGCGCCTCCTGGGTGAGGTGTTCAGGGTATGTCCCACCGGGAGGAGGCCCCGGGGCAGACCCAGGACACGCTGGAGAGATTATATCTCTCGGCTGGCCTGGGAACGCCTTGGTGTTCCCCTGGATAAGCTGGAGGAGGTGGCTGAGGAGAGGGAGGTCTGGGCCTCTCTGCTTAGGCTGCTGCCCCCGCGACCCGGCCCCGGATAAAGCGGATGAAGATGGATGGACGCTGAGATACCAGGTATCACATTGAGGCTACATTTAAACCACAAAGCTTTAATCTGCCAAGCCCAACATTGTAATTAAAGCATTTTAATGAGGGGTCCAGACACTTGGCATAACTGAATGTGTCCATCTTTTTGTTGACCGACTTTCATGAAGTTCATGTTGGTAGTTTTTGCATTGCGATGAGTACAAACAGAATAACAATTTTAAACGAAGGGAATCCTTTTGTGGTATTATGAGGGATTACATAACATCGCAATTAATATTTCATCTACTTATTTCTGAAAACATATCTGTCTGATATGTTTGTAAACTTTTATCCTTATCTTTCCTTTGTTTTCAGCATTTGCTCTTTTCTGGCTTCTCTCAACCACCCTTCCTGCAGAGTTTTTCAGAGAACCTCAGCTGTTATTTTAAGAAAATACCACCCAAATCTGTCCTTGAGGGAAAGGCATGACCTCACATTCATCCCCTGAGAGGGAAATTACCATGAACTGTCTGTCCTTCCTATTAGACCTTCTTCAGTCTACAAGGATTCCCATGTAATTGGGCCTCCCAGCGGATGTTAATATATCACCAGTGAATCTGCAGCCTGACCTTTGACTCTGAGATATTGCAGACAAGCCAAGCAGCAGGGAGAGAGCAGAAACACACTCTGAGCAGGTGAGGTGGATCAAAGGTTTTAGTCTTCTGCTTTTAGATTCAAAAAATCTACAATACTACCAGAAGTACTAGAGGGATTGTTTTACAAAATACCTTTGGTTTTCAAATTCTGTTTTGCAGCCAGCAATTGTGACGGGCTCACTGTTTTCACGGGATCCTCTGTCCTGCTTGCGTTGATTTTCTAAGCAGACGTCATCGTGATGGAGACACAGCAAACGGCTGGAAGTTTTCCTGCGCTGAGCCAAACCACTGTCACAGCAAGTATAACAGGTACAAGTGTTTGGTCTCAGCTGACCGTAAGGTTCAAAGTTAATAATGTCAGTAAAGAGTGCTCCCTCCAGAATGACGCAAAGCTGCCTGAAAGGCTAACAATGCAAAGCGTGGATGTGCTTAGACTGTAAGCAAAGGCATATTTTACTGCTGTTCAGTTGCAGTGTGTGCTAAACGCCTCTGACTGAGTCTGGCTCTGGATCTATTTTCATCCAGGCTCTTCAAACTGTTTCCTCTAATCGCTGCACATTTGAAGCAGATACATAAAGCCTCAGAGACTAATTCAGTTCTCAGAAGTTATCTTCAGCTTTCACATCAGCTGCCCAGGTGAACTCCCTTCTGCTTGCTTATTTTTCCACTGGCATTGCATGTTGTGGCACACAGAGCTCATTTCCAGCTGGGCTATTTTGGGCTCAGCTGCCAAGATTCTGATCTTTATGGGATTTTAAAACTAAGCACCAGGAATAAACCTTTAAGTAAAATGAAAATCTTATGAGCTTTTAAAAACAGACTAGCAGTTCTGCCAAAGAGCCACTATTTACTTTAAGTTAGTGGGTCTAAATTGCACTTTCCATGCATAATATAAACAGCGCTGACAATATCACAGTATGTTTGGCTGTTAGTCCTAGCACAGTGAGTTTGTTGAGATTTGATGGGAACTGAAAGCTTTTGCAGGTAACGCTTTGTTTTGTTCTTCTGTTATGTCCTGTTCCAGCTGTGGGAGAAACATATGAGCTTACACGGTGGCTGTAAATCATGTGGCACATTTCCAGCTGCAAGAAGCTTTCATGTGAAGCGGATAAATGTCTGTTTATGAGGTGTAAATTTCAACAGTTTAGGCGTTTCCATTTGCAAAGCAGCTGTGTGGTCAGCAAAATGACGGACCGTCAGAGGAACTTTAATCTCCGACAGTAGATATTACATAATCCTTTTTAGAGACGTCTTTGACACATTAACTGCCATCAAGAGCAATCATGATTTTATGAGAATATGATCACTTTAGACTGTAGCTCTCAAATAAAACCCACAGCCACTTTATAAGGTACACCTCTTTAACTGTTCATTAACACATATTTATTCAGCCAATCACACGGCAGCAGCTCGGTGCATTTTGGCAAGTAGACATGATCAAAATGAACTGCTGAGACTCAAACCGAGCATTAGAATCAAGCAGAAAGGTGACCTATGCGACTTTGAATGTTGGCGCCAGATAGTCTGAATAATTCAGAAACTGCGTATCTACTGGGATTTTTCCCATATGGCTTTCTCTGGAAAGGAGCAAATATCCACAGAGCAGCAGTTCTGAGCAAAAGGGTCTTGCTGATGACAGAGGTCAGAGGAGACTGGTCAGATGCAAAGGGAGCCAAAAACAGACTCCAAAGGCAGGCGGGAATAAAACACAAAGCACTTGAATGATGGCTAGTTTGCGATCCAAAATTAAAATCTGTGAAAGAAAAACAAATGTAATCCAATTTACTGCGAATAAATGGGAGAAGACAACAGAGACGCAAAGACAAAAAGCAAAAAGAAGGCAGCGCAATAAATACACAAAGGGTTCATTTGAGGAAATAGAAACGGGGAAAATGAGACAGCTGAAACCGACATGAATAATGACACAAAGGACGTGAAACTAAACGCAAGGACACAGGAGACAAATGCATACACACAATAACTTTACACTAAAGGAAACACAAGAAACTTTTTAACTAAGAGCTTGTTACAACCAAGCTACTGTACGCAGAAGAGCTCTGAACTTACAGTAGCAGACCACACCTTGGAGCCAAGAGCAGGAAACTGAACCACAGTTCACACAGGTTCACCAAAAACAGACAACACAAGACTGGAAAAGCATTGCCTGGTTTGATGAGTGTCAGTTTCTGTTGTTCACATGATAGGGTCAACATTTTGCATAAACAACATGAAAACATGGGGCAAACCTGCCTTATATCAACAGTTCAGGCTGCTGAACAGCTTGTTGATGTGATGGTGTGGGGGGGTATTTTCTTGGCACACTTTGGGCCCCTTATTACCAACTGAGCATCGTTAAACAGCCACAGCTTACCTGAGTATTGCTGCTGACCATGTCCATCCCTTTATAACTACAGGGTACAATGATGGATTTATGATCTTAGACTGGTTTCTTGAACACGACAATGAGTTCTTGGTACTCAAATGGGCTCCACAGTCAGCACAACATTGCTACAACTGACCTAAAGCAGCTCTGCACCTTTTGTAGTTAATATTTTCTAGACAAAGTGCTTTACAGTTTCAAATAAAACACAAGGCACAGAAAATCACAAAGGTTTTAAACCCATGTGAGTTGCATCTGATCTGGAACAAAAGCAATTTCTGAATAAATTTGCAATTAAGGTTTTCGAGAAATGCAATCTCAGTGATTCTGACTTTAATCAGAAGAAAACTATGTCTTAAATTAAAGTATCTGCCAAGTTGCGAAATATTCCAAGACTTTCACTCATTCGAAGCATGATTCAAAGCTCTTGGGAAAAGATTCCGGTCTATGTTATCAAACACTGCTTAAGTCAGAAGCGGCTAAGAGCAGAAGAGCAAGTGTGATTAAAAAGATGTCGGACCCTGAAGTGAATATTGGATTTCATGGGCTGTAAAGTCCAAAGCATTCACAGATGTCTGTTATCTGAGCCAACAGAAGCAACATATTTATAAGTTCTGATCTTATCCAGTTCTCTTTTTTTAACGATGCTATGACTGCTCAGCACTGGTATTTTCCTACGGTGTAAATCAAAGTACGACAGCCTGTGTTAGCTGGGAAATTGTTACCAAGTACCCCGATGAAGGCCACAAGTTGAAACGGGCTGGTCAAGCAGCAAAGTTTATACCACGAGTGTTGCAGGAGCTTCGACTTCTTTAAATGGCCTGTATTTATATAGTGCTTTACTAGTCCCTAAGGACCCCAAAGCGCTTTACACATCCAGTCATCCACCCCTTCACACACACATTCACACACTGGTGATGGCAAGCTACATTGTAGCCCCAGCCACCCTGGGGCGCACTGACAGAGGACCAAAACTACCAAATTCTCACAAGAAAACTATAAATCAGAACTGATGAGTTCATGAAGTGTGACACAGATTGGTAGTTCAACTTTTATTTGCCAGTGTAGCTATAACATCTAAATGTCATCCACTGTAGCCGTTTATAGCTGGAATGTGTGTCTTCAAATGAACACATAGAAATAAAAAATTAATATAGAAGACTTGCACACAAACTGGTGAAGTGAAAGCTCCTTATTGATTTGATATGTAAAGAAACCCAACGCACCTTTCCTAGAGGCCTGAGCATGTCAGTGCAGGGGTTGATCTGACCGTGTCAGCAGAAATAGTCCATTGACAACAACAGAGAGGTGAGGCATTTCTATACCAATGGTAGTGAAAGCTACCTGGACAATTCTGCTAACACGCTTCCTGTTTAGTTGTGATGCACTTTGTGATCTTTGTCTCAAAAGGTCATATAGAAATAAAATTTTACTTATTTATATTGCTTAATTTATGTCACCCATAGGGCATGAGTGGAGACTGAGTGGAGAGTCAGTCATGTGCTATGGGCTTCACGGTCACCAAATGTCAGCCCAGCTAGACACTGGGCAGGTTTCTGGGCAGATCCATCCATTCGCGTCCGCTTATCCTGTTCAGGGTCGCGGGGGGCGCTGGAGCCTATCCCAGCTGTCATAGGGCGAGAGGCGGGGTACACCCTGGACAGGTCGCCAGTCTGTCGCAGGGCCAACACAGGCAGATCTCTTGAGAAAAATATCCTGCAGTCCAGCATCAAATCAAGCCATCAGATAGCTGCGGCTCCCTAAGCCTGGTTCTGCCAGAGGTTAAAAGGGAGTTTTTCCTTCCCACTGTCGCCAAGGGCTTGTTAGAAGGGTCATCACCGCTTTGGGTTTTCTCTGTATTATTGTCGATTGTTTACTTTAACATATAAAACACATTGAGGCAACTGTTGTTGTGATTTGGAACTATAGAAATAAAACTGAAATGAGCTGAATTGTGTTGATTTCCCTTTAATTTGTTGCCAGTCTGTAGCTTTGTGTCGGTCTGTTTGTGTTCACCTTCGAACTAAACAGTGACTAAAATCCCGTAAAACTGTTACGTGACGCAAATGAAGCTGTTTAGGAGTCGACCTTTGCTACAGTCACACTTTTGCATTATTGCTAAATTACTTGTTTCATGTCGGGAAATGGATTGAAACACTGACTCGGCATCAGTTAGATGCTTGCTCTGCAGTTTGCTTACACACAAGGAACGCCCTGTGTACACATACTCATACTTTTAGATACATACACACAAATATTTACTCATACAAACCACAAATACTGCAATCTTTGTAAACACATGATTTGAAGGCGTGCGGACATCAAATACACAAATACACATAGGTTTTAGTGAAATTGTGACACACAAACATTATCCTAAATCCGTTAATTAACCAAAATATACACATGTAAGAATTTCCGCGCTTTCACACAAATTCATCCTCATAATAATTTGACCCTCTATGTCCTCTCTTCATGGTTCCCAGGGGCTACCATGGTATCCATGGATACTATGTCTCGTTTCCACGGGGAAGGAGTTCGCTACAAAGCCAAGCTGATTGGCATGGACCCAGTACCCGACGCACTCGGAGAAAAGATGTGCAGAGACTCCATGATGAAACTAAAGGTAGTCCACCGCCAAAGTAAACTGACTTCTGTCTGCTCTTGATTAAACTGGTTGATTTCCTGTAAGATCAATCTTCATTTTTTCACTTTATCAGAGAAAAAAAATCAAAGATAAACACCAGACGTTTAATATTTCATGACTGCTGAGATTAATGTTATCATTCGGAGGTACTTGTATTTCACAGACCAATATTTTTTTAAGCATCACAGCAAAAGTATTTAAAAGCTACGTCAAGATCTGGGAGGATATATTTTTTCTGTCCTTCTGTCCATTTCGGTCAGCGCTCAGATGTCTCAATATCTAATGGAGGATTTGCATGAAAGTTATCACAGACATTTTTGGTTCCAAGATAAAAATGAAAAATAAGAAAGTCCTTGTTGTCTTGTGGTGACCCTTCCATCTAAAAAGAAAGGAATAAATCTTTAAAGTAAGTAAGCAACAGAAAAGAAAATCATGTGCTATACTGTACTTAAAGATCCCAATCTTAAGTATTCAGATTCAGTAGTGTTGACAGTTAGAACTTACTTTCTGTCTTCTGTTTTAGTTTTTTAACCATAGACTGTATATAAAAGAAGGCCAAAGCCACTACACTGACTCCGTTTTTGACTTGAGCTCTGCAGGTCATTATAAAGATCTGCCTTGCTTTTAAAGTGAAAACAAAACATCACATGTGTTAAGGTTAATTTACACCTCAGAGCCCTACTCTAAAAAACTGTCACAGCGAAAGAAAAGACATTAAACTGGCAGTTCAATTACAACTCAAACATTACATTACATTACATATAACATTACAGCTAACAAAGGCAGCTAGCCAGCAAAGAAGAGCCACTCAGTGCTTCAGAGACAGAGAGTGAAAGTGGACAGTGTATCCATTTTTTGGTTTATTAATATAAAACCCATCTGTGAAGCCGGGGGCAGCAGAAAGGACTCCCTTAGACTGCTTTTTAGTTTCAATTTCCTTGTTTTCCACTGAGATATCAGTGTTATTAGTTAGCTAGATGTAAGTCTTTTAGCAGCAACACATCTGTACTGGCATGTGACGGTGCTGCACAGGCTCTAAAAACTAACTTTAACCACTTAAATCCAGCTCCATGCAGAGTGTTAAATCTATGGTTATTTTTAGAGGAAGCCTCTGTGATGTAAGTTAACACGTATTGTTTCATGCACATTTTTTATGCACAGTCTATGATATGAGTCATACGTAGGAAAAGCTCCTGATTGCTGTTTGTTTCAGTGGAAGAGCATGCATCAGTGAGTTCAGATCTTAAAGTTTTTCTTTGTGTTTGAGTTTATTTGCTAACTACAAGGTTTTAAATACTCACAGACTGCAGACTGAAAACTGTCAGAAACAGACTCGATGTGTAGTTTTTGGACCTTTGTAGACCTTTCTGATGGCATTTGAATTTGACAAAGCATTATTATTAAATATTTTTAAAAAGAAACTCTTCCTTAACACAGTTTTAACTCTATGTTTGATGAATGAGCAGTGTCTTTGTTTTTTCAGAAAAAAAATGAGTTGTGGGAACATTCCTGCTGTGGAAAAATGGCTTGTAATGCCTCTGACATCCTGTTGACTCCTGACGTGTTCTTCTAATCTCAAAGGACTTTGCATGATGCAGTGAGAGTTTGTTTGGAGAAGCGCGCCACAGCTTTTGTAAAAAGTCAAAAAAGGGGGGAAACAATAATAAATGATAAACAGACACGGTCCACGGGGAACGGACAGAGCGAGGTCACAATCACTCAAAATTGTGATCACACTTGTGCGACCTGTCAAGACCGTCAGTGTCAGCATGCATCTAATGTAGTGTGAATAACTTTAAACTGCAATCAGCGATCACACACACACTGCTTTGAATATAAATGTTTATACCATACACAATACATTACAACACAGTTAGAAGAAACACACTACAGCACTGGTGTGAGTCACCGATCGCAGTCACAGGAAGGACATCATAGTAACGAGTATAAAAATACAGACGGCAGGAGCCAAACCACAACTCACTCAGCAAATAGAATCAAAGAGTGAACTTTGTGCAGGTAACTGTGGAGTAGCTCAGGATGCGTTTTACACAGATCTGACTGCTGTGAAGGCCAATTCAGGGTCTCTGGGTCATTGTTTGAGAGCAACTGCAGAATAGCAGCTTTGCATTTGAATAATGTAAGCTGTGTACAGTACTGTGCAAAGGTCTCGAGCCATGCCTGATGTTTGTCAAGACCAGTTTTAAAAAACCACGAGAACATCTGGCTGCTTGGAAGTGTGACTCAAGACTTTTGCACAGTATACTTGTTGCATGTTTTGAGACCTATATATTTTATACAATTTAAATATAATAATTTATCAATAAAATGTGTATAATGTTGAGAAGAGGACACCGTTATGAAATATAATATAAAAAGCAACCTGCGAAAACCACCCAAACCACACACTCAGCAATAGCAAAGACAGCTTCCAGTAGGAAAAAGTGCTTAGAAAACCTACCCAGATCGATTGGGACTGAAACAGATCCACTGCCAATGTTTTTGTGGCTGTAAATCATGGATTAAAACAATTTCACAAAGTAAACCATCAAAGAAAGCACTTGCTTTTTTGTTAGCAGCAATAATCTGTACATCCTGGTTTGTAAGAGGTCCTTTCAGCAGACCACTTCTGGCTGCAGATACAATGTTCCCTCCGGCTGTCCCGGCATGCTTACTGGTGGTGTTACATCAATCGTAGACACAATGACTGTGAAATACGTCAGAACTGCTCTGTCGGTTAATTAGTTTAGCTTTACTCCTTAATGTGAGATTCATCTCGCTTTTTATGTGTGCTCTGACTTATCTCATTGGAATATATGTCTGTCATTTCATGTTTACTTCTTATTCAGCTCACCTGTGCTGTTGTGTGAATGTGTGTGTGCTAAAGGGCTTTGAGGTAGCAGGAAGGAAACAGGGAATCCACAAGAGGAGAATTTGGTTGAAAATTTCCTCCAGTGGCTTGAAAATTCTGGATGAAAGGACCGGGGTGAGTCAAGCAAGGGATTTCCCAACATGTGTTGTGTTGTCCTCAAATTGTAGCGCCCCCTTTAGGTTGATAGTTAGTCTTAAAATGACTGTGATTCTTCAGTGGACAGTTCATGCTTGGATTGCATAATAAAAGTATTTTATTACACTGCAGTTTTTTTTTCCAAAACTGGAAAATCTTAAGAGGTGGAGATGATATTTACACAAGTGCTGAGAATCAGTATCATAAATCTGTTCTTATTTTGGTGGTTAGAGTTTCTTGTATAATAAATAAAAGATAAATCCTCATTTCAGGCTGTTCTTCACGACCATGAGAGGAGCAGGATCAGCTCTTTGACCAAAGATGAGTCTGACCCCAGAGCTCTGGCTTACATCTACCAGCATCAAGACAACTACATCCTCTTCTACATCAAGATGGCTAACCTGGTAACGAAACACAGTACTAAAGCAGAAACAGGTGGTGTTATTAAATACTGCTAATACTAATGCTAATACTGCTAATACTGCCACATAACATATAAACATTTAATAGATTATTATATAAAAATTAATTATTTAATAAGTCATTTATAAGCAAAAGTGTTTACCATAACTCCTCCAGTGGGCACATATAGCAAGTATAGTTGTTTAAGCACATAAAAAAATACTGAGCCACCGCAATGCAATTTAATGCTGACATGATTTATCAGCATTATTTAACTTCATTTAACCATCAAACCATCCATTCTCTTCAGCTTCTCAGGGTCACAATGGGGCTGGACCCTATCCCAGCTGTGAGAGGTGGGGTACAGAATGGACCAGTAACCTTCTGATATATTAAAAAAATTAGATGAAATTCAAATGAATTCAATTTTATTTATACAGCGCCAAATCACAACAACAGTCGCCTCAAGGTGCTTTATATTGTAAGGTAGACCCTACAATAATACATACAGAGAAAAACCCAAGAATCATATGACCCCTAAGAGCAAGAGCTTTGGCGACAGTGGGAAGGAAAAATTGCCTTTAAACAGGAAGAAACCTCCAGCAGAGCCAGGCTCAATGAAAATATACATTTTTATGCAGGAGGCATTTTTTTTGCAATTTACTGCTCACAGTAGCAGTGCATGTTTGACAGATTCAGTCTGGACGGAGGAGAGAAACCTCAATTTCTGTGCAGTGTATTTATCTGTGTAGCATTAAAGTTCATTCTAAATAAATACAGTTAGCTTGCTCGAGCAGCATTCTAAACAGCTGGTCCGAAACTGTTTTTATCATTTACGGAATATTTCAAAATTCAGACTAATGGTGTCAAAGCCTGAACTTGAGATGATTATTCATGCTTTTATTTCCTCCTGTTTAGACTACTGTAGTTGTGTCTTTTTACTTGTTTTAACAAATCAGCCTTAAATCGTCTTCAGACTGTGCAGAATGCTGCAGCACGTCTCTTAACAGGCACCAAGAGAAGATCTCATATTACTCCAGTTTTAGCCTCCCTTCACTGGTTGCCTGTAAGTTTTAGGTTTCATTTTAAAATTTTAGTTCTAACCTTTAGGGCCCTACATGGTCAAGCTCCCCAATATTTATCTGACCTGCTGAAACCACATTCATCTTCTCGAGCTTTAAGCTCATTAGATGAGAGACTGCTGGTGGTACCGCGCACTCGTTTTAACCCTCTTGAGGCAGGCGTTGCCGATTTGCAACAGTTAAAAACTAACAACCTGATTACCCCACAAACATATTTTATGAGGTTTTTTTACTCAGAAGTACCACTGCAGGACTTGGTTGTGCTTTAGCAACAAAAAGTTTAATTTGAGCCTGAGAGGGTTAAAACTCGTGGTGATCGTGCCTTTCAGACTGTGGCACCACGGTTGTGGAATTCTCTTCCACTGTCTCTACGCTGCACGTACTCCATTGATTCTTTAAAAAAAACAGCTTAAGACATTTTTATTTAGAAAAGCATTTGAATAATTTCCTCCTTTGTTTTTTTATTGTTTTATTGTATTACATTGCTGTTTTATTTACTGTTACATTGTTTTATATTTCCATTTCTTGTGTTGTAAAGCACTTTGTGATTTTTATCAGTGAAAAGCGCTATATAAATACATTTTACTTACTTGCTTACATTCTCCTCAAAACAGGCATGCAAAGCAAACTTTAAAAAGCCAGCTCATCGTGAACGAGAATGATTGTCACTATAGTTTGTTTTGCATGTGGCTGCATTGGCCTGTTAAGAGTTTGCACAGCAGTAAGATGTTTTATCTGTGTCTCTCAGGCACATCCAGTGTTCCTTGACATCCAGGAAGTTTGTCAGCATGTGGACCGAGAGATCTCGCAGCAGCCTGCAGAGACACCAACACAAGTCAGAAAGAAGTTTTTTTTTTGTCCCTGTGCTTTTGGTTGGTTTATTTGTTAGCTTTCACTCACCACTGTTGGTTTTTTTTCTGTTTCAGGGTGCTTCTTTACTGGTTCTACACAAGAGCTCAGCAGCAGAGGTTCATTATTTTTAATCATCTTCACTTTTTCTAAATGAAGGTGATCCCAAATTTAAACAAAATATTTCTGTGTTTTTATACATGGACTTGCTTACTTTACAGGAACCAGCTCTTGAAGATCTGTTCAGCCCACGGCCAGATGTTTCATCACAGCAGACAAAGCAGGTATAAAACAACAATACAAGTTTTTATGTGAGATAACAGCCATATTTCACATGAAATAGCTGACAAAAGCAAGTGTCCAAAGTTGGGTTGAAATGGTAGGAGGCTAAGCAGCAGTGTCTCCCAGTTTCTGATTTTTCCCAGGGGATCCTGAAGTTGTCCCAGATTAGATATGCGATCTCTCCAGTTGATTGTGGTTTTACCCTGGGGTCTCCAAACCACCAAAGGGAGGCTTGTCCGAACTCCTCGTCCCCTCTCTCAGGCTGAGCGCAGCCTGCCTGAGGAGGAAAGACACTTGGGTTCATGACCTTACTCTTTTAGTTATTCGTGACTATTTTTAGTTTAGTTTATATTATTTTTTATAGTTAGTTTAGTTTATATTATTTTCACAGTTAGTTTCTTTAATAAATTGTGATTTTATAGTGCTATATGTATACATCTTTCTTGTATACTTGTATATGATATTTGTATATTATACTTTTACAGGTGTGTTTAAGTTTAACTTTTTAACTAAAGTCTAGTTTTGATCCTAATTAATAATTTTTTTCACCCCCAGTGTCACTTATTAGTTTAGTTGTAGCTCATTATAATAGCTTTGGTGCAGCATTATGGAATCTCGCAAAATAAGACGATTGTAATACAACTACACTTCTGTCTCCTCACTTTTAGGTAACATGTAGGTGAGAATTTATATTTTATTCTCTCCTTGTTTCTGCCAGCAGCCCTCATCCACCAATGAGCTGATGGAAGTGTTTTCGACCCCACTGGGGGAGCCTCTGGCACAAACTCAGATCCCAGGTATCAGTAAACATAAGGACGCGTTCCTCTTAAAAACAGCAGATTTGTAATAACAGTACACCTCATAGTGTAGCGCTATTTGAAAAACAAAAACTATTTTTCTCCTCCGTCAGAGCCTCCACAGCAACAGCAAGTGCTCTCCAGCTCGCAGATTCTCTCTATGTTCCCCACACATCCTGTAGGTGGCTCTCCATACTCATCCCCCACATACCCTCCAGCCAGCATGCCTTGGGGCCAGCAGGCGCTTCCAGGAAACCAGTGGGCGGCCCCGTGGCCCACTGCGCCTGGCAACATTTCACCATGGGCACCACCAGGTGTCACAGTATCCCCTACATTAAGCCAGGCTCCCAGCATGGCCAACCCTGTGCCCGGTTTCATGATGGGAGGAAACGCAGCCCCTACGCCCTCTGGTGTTAACAGCTACTCCACCCCTTTAAACTCCTTAAACTCCACCCCTATAGGAACAACAGCAGCGCCACTGTCAGTGTCCTCACCCTTGGAGAACCCCTCCCTCCTTTGAAATGAGTGTAGAAATGTGAATTTATTGAGTTCATGTTTTGTTTTTAGAATTTTTAGTAAAAGAAAACACCACCACACACCTACAATGAAGCTCTAAATTATAGCACCAATATTCTTATTCATTCATTTTCTTATATATTTAACTACTTCAAGGGCTGCCATGAGATGAGAGGTGGAGAGGTTTCAAGTCCTTCACAGGGGCTAACAGAGATAGACAGACAACAGTTCGTGCTCATATCCACACCTACGGCTGATTTAGAGTCACCTGTAAACCTAAACCGACTCTAGAAGCCAGAGAGCCCATAGAGAACCACACAGGCACGACCATGAGCACGCAAACGCTACTCAGAAAGCCCCCAGACTGAGCCTGAATCCTCTTGTTGTGAGCCAACAGTGTTGACTCATCCGCCAACATTGTAAACTGAAGTACAGTTATGGTACAAAGTTTACATCCACTCAGCATGGGCATGAATATTGTGGTAATTTGGAGGTTTTAATCATTTATTTGAACAAGAATTGCGTGCACAAGTTTGAATTTATTTTGGGGGTGGGTTTCAAAAATATACATACACAACCATTAATATTTGGTGAAACGTTCCTTAGCAGGTTGCACCTCAATCAGACCCTTTTGGTAGCCATCATCAAGCATTTGGCATAATTCTGACTGGGCATTTAACCATTCTTCTTGGCAGAATTCATAGACTTCAGAGTTCAGTTAATTTTGTTCGTTTCCTGGCATGGATCCACCTGTTGAGTGTAGTCCGCATATTTTCATAGGGTTGAGGTCAGGGCTTTGGGAAGGTCATTTAGTTAGCCTGCTTTATCCATTAGGATCACAGTCCTGTTGGAACATCCAGTTGTGTCCAAGTTTCAAGCATCTAACTGTTGATTAGAGATTAATTTGATGAGCTCAGAGGTAGTGCTTCTCCTTCATTATTCAATCCACTTTGTGTAATGTACCAGTACCATTTGCAGCAAAACAGCCCCAGAGCATGATGCTACCACCACCATGCTTGACAGCTGGTACAGTGTTATTAGGCAAAAAAGCTCAATCTTTGTCTCATTTGACCATAAAACTTTTCTCCAGAAGCTGTTTGACTTGTCCATGTGGGCAACTGCAAATTTCAGTTGAGGTTGAAGTTGCCAGTTTTGGAGCAGGAGCTTCTTTCTTGATCAATACCCTCTCAGACAGCAATACTCACTTTACTGTGGACAGTGATGCTGCTGTTCCAGACGTTTGCAGTTCATGGCAGGCTTGAGCCTTTTCCTTTCATCTGAGGATGACAGTTTGGGTCTTCTTTAGACCTTCACAAAGGGATGATCCTGGGATCATCCCTTTGTGAAGGTCTAAAGAAGTTAGAAATGCCCCATTAAACGTCTGGAATAGCCTTCAGAAAGCCCCGACTTTAAACGTCTTGAAAAGTTATGGACTACTCTTAAAATCCAGATCTTTGAACTCTTGTAGCTCAACATGGCAACAGCAAATAAAGAAATAAATATTACAATACTATTACTAACATTAATAAAAGCTTAAACAGACTAACAGACAAACTGTACAATTTTTATTTCTAATGAATATGTAATAAAATGTTTGTGCTGAACAGTGAAATCTGTCAATAAATGCTCAGAACTTCCAACTTTATTTTTTCATACAAATCCTGTAGTCTGTAAATTTATGAGGACTTGATGTTGATCACTTACTATGTTCGGTTTTTTAAACAGGACTTTTTGAAATGGACTGTTTAACCATTTGATTTGTGAAATTTGCTGATATCAAATGAATTCCGACTTTCTGTCTTGTTGAAAGGGATTTTGGGGAAGTTTTTTCTCCTTCTAAATCAGAGTTTGAGGAAGTCTAATTTACACAATATAAAATCTTTTTAAGAAACTTGTGACTTCCTCAGATTTTGGCTATGAAAAGACGGCTGACTACATGACGTGTACAAGATGAATAAATGACATAACATACGAGGAAACCCCGCTCTTACTTCACTAAAATTCTCGTCCTTTCATGTATTTTTCAACATCTCCTCGTCTTATCTAAATAAGGTTATTTTATTCTTTCCTGCCTTAATTAATTTGCTTTTCTTCACTTCATGCGCTCACACATAATCAAACACAAAGAGTAGATCAACAAAAGCACACAGTGAGATTAATGCCACACTTAGTAAGGCCCGGTTGGATGTTGTTGTGCACATTATGATAAGGCTGACCTTTCAGGGCGAAATGAAACAAAGTGGTGCGCCTATTATTTTCTGCTCTTATTCTTATGTTGTGTCACTATCAGTCACCCTCTTGCCCACACTAAATTGCAGAGCATTTCCTCATTCGCAGTAAGCTCAGTGTGGTTGTGCGTGCAGCAGCACACACAGCTACATCGGCCTGGATACTGGTGTTACTACTAGACATGGAACGTTTTGACCACTAATAAACTATCACTGAAGGAAAAGATGGTAAGGCATTCTTATTTATTCTTTTTTTGAATGTACCAATGATGGACTAATTAGGAAGTCCTCCACTGAAGCTTACACAATCCTCTTCAGGCGCTGTGTCTTTAACTCTGACCATTTCCTCCTGACCACCAAGAGGTTTATGAATAACTAGACTTTTGTAGAAGGAACCTCAGCAGGTATTATTGTAACACTACAGGTCTAACCTCAGTTTCTATGTATCCTCCACTTAGAACAAATGTACTTTTATAACTTAACCATCTTTAAAACGTTCAAATTTTGTAACACAATATCCACAAAACATGACAAGTACAGTTTGGCACAGTTTTTCTAAACAGCGTTTATTGGATCAGTTTCACAGGGAAAAAAAGGGGAAGTTGAAGAGAGAAAAAAAGAAATGTTCATGGTCAAGCGGATGAAAGCAAGTTTTATTACAAGGCTGTTGCTGGTTAATGATTCACACTAAACTTTATGGCTACCTATTTTCTAATGTATCCGAATGTTAAGCACCCTAAGGCTTTTTGTTAGACAAAAAAAAAAGAGTCATAGTCATAGGTTATGAACTCTTTTAGGAAAGGATTTTATTCTTCCATCACTTTTCTTGTTTCTTTTTTACTCATCAGCAGGGAGTATTAACCCTGGCCACTCTGATTTTACACGTTAGTATAATTCTCGGGCTTCATGGGTGACTGAAAAGCTGAACTGGGGATAAAATAAATCAAGACATTTTACTTATGAATGGTGTGGCCTTTAAACTGGACATCATTGCAGACAATTGGTAATTATTTTAAAAAAAAAACAACAACAACTTGGTTTTACCGTGACCATAAGAATGAAATTTGCAGTAGCATATGTATTTTTAACTGTCTTGTTTGTTACAGTAGAGTTACAGTAGTACTGTTTTCTCATTAGGACCTGAGTGCAGCACACCTGCACAAGCAGTCTGTGGTTTTTAAAAAAATCTAGTTAACTGTGTCAGCCTGTGTTTGCTCTGCAGCAGGCGCGCGCTGACTGAAAGTGTGCGAGCATGTGAGTGTTTCTTTCTTTTTTTTTGTGTGGTTTGGAGGGAAAGTTTTTTGTCTGCTTCCTTTGTTCCCTGTAACAAAGGCGATGCTGCCGCCCCAAACTGCGAACGGAGCTTGCAGCTTATTGGTGCAGGAGTGACAGCAGCATGCGTTTCTATGGTAACCGGGTGCAGGATGCTAGCTGAGGTATGGAGGTGTGTGGTTGCGAGCACTTCCTGCTCTTCAGCTACTTTTTGACTTTGCACAGCTCACAGCCTGAACGAGTGACACTGAGTGATGGTGTGATTCGTTTATTGTTTTTATTTTGTCAACAGCTGAGATATTCATTCCTCATGTTTCACAGCTTCCGTTTCGATTGTATCTCCCTCACGGTTCTTTTGATGCTGTGAGCATTTTGAAAGGCCGGGTTACTGGGAAATAAGATTTAAATCTCAATGTGACTTTTCACCTGAATAAATAAAGGATGATAATAATAATAATGATCTCTAAAATGTTTCTCTCTCTATTTCCGCTTCTACCATCCAGCACTACGCAACCTCTCTTGATTTACTTCATAAGGATTCATTTAAAAAGCCCAATGTCTACAAAATATTTTAAATATAAGCTTCACAGAGATGCTAATTATTATCTGTTGTTTCATCCATATGAAACATTTTTTAAGAATAACATGACTAAAGGTAAAATGCATAAAAATCTTGAGGTTATAGGGGAAAAATAATATATTTATTTAAATTTTCTCATTTGTTTACTTGGAAATATTAATTAAATAATTAATATTAGTTTGCAGTTCTGTCCATTTTCATTTTCAGCCATTTGGAAATATTCAAATGCAGTGGATGTCTAGTTAAAACTGCCGGTATGATAGCAACCAGCTAGCAGCAGTGCGTTGTGGTTCACAGAGCGATCAGACAGGAAATGACCTCTGAAAAGCTGATTAAGCGTTGGGAGATCCGTGCTCAGTCACCAGCAAAGCAAAGCAAAACACCCTGTCGTGCACAGATGAAGCGCATGCCAGTAACTTCTAGAAACTCGTGCACCAGGGTCACAGGTGCAAACCTCTCTGTCATCAAGGTGCTTTCCTGCAAGTCATATGATTGTTTTTGTGAGCTCTGGAAAACGTGCCAGTACCTTCCTCCTCTGTCCCTTGGCTTAAGCCTTTTTGCACCCCTACTTGGCTCATAAACATCTTACACAAAAGGTGAGCAACAACATGTCACATGTTGAAGACTGTCTGCCTTGGTGTGAGTGTTCTGTTCACGTAGAAAGAGACAACAGTAAGTACAACGTATTTATGTAGTATCCCAAAGTGCTTTACAGAGGTATCAATAAAAACGAACTTGTGCAAGGTTAACATGAACACACATGTAATGAATGTTTCAATGGCTCTTCAATGGCATGTGTGGCATAATGGTGCAAAGCATAAAAAAGCGGCTCCACCTTAAACAGTTCTGTAAAAAACGAGTAAATAAATAAATAACTTATTGGACAGTTGTAACCAAGATGAACTTGTACCAGAATGATGAGAAAAGTATGAAGAAAGGGAGAAACAGATCATGATCCAAAGCATTATGTGTCAAACAGAACCATACTCTCTGCTCAGCTTAAGCCAAATGCTGCAGAAGCAATCAGAAAGCACCTCACTGTGAAAATAGATAATGACCCAAACCAAGCAACAAGAGTTTCTTGAGGCCAATTAAAGAATATTCTTCAATGGCCAAGTAAGTCACATGATCTCCACCGAATAGTGCATGCTTTTCTATTATTGAATACAAAACTGAAAGCAGAGAGACCCTCAAACAAGCAGCAGCTAAAGGCAGACCTGTGCAGTAAAGGACTAGTAGAGCAACTCAATGGAAAAAACAGCATTTGGTGAGTTGTTCTTTCATGCAAGCATTCAAAGGAGTATTTTTTTATATATATGTTTAAATTGATGTTAGTTCACTAAAATGTGAAGGCTGTGCATAAAAGTGACTGTCAGTCTCAAACAGCTCATGCTAAATTTGTGATCAGTCATCAGTTCAGTGACATCTTTGTTCTTTGATTTATAATCCACTGCAGTGGTGTACAGAAGCTACAACTACAATAAAATGTGTCTTCGTCCCAAATGTCACGGAGAGCGCCGTCCTCCTAGTTCTCAGTCTGGTCCCTTCCTCACTCGCCATGCTGACTTTTAAAATACAAAGACAAAATGAAAGCCTCGGCTAACAGCTTCAAGATGGGGCATTAATCAGTGAGTGATGTTGCAGTGATCAGGCTATGAGTAATGTACTTTTTAATTTTTCTTTTCTTATTGTTGTCAGAGCGATTAACAACATTAGTTTAACGAATAGTTTACACAGCACACGTTTAACTTGCATAAGTTCCCTCAGATCTGCAGATCTTGAGGTACAGTTTCCAAGAAGAAGTAAGCAGCTCCCTTCGTGACTGCCTTTTTCAGTGCAGGTGTCACGCATGACATCACATCCCGTGTTTGTAACACTAAATGTCTGATTAATGCTTGATAGTACATCAGTGAGATCTACTCACACTCACAAGATCTACTAAAAATGATTGAAAAACAACTTTGGAGAAAGATATTCTGATGTTTACGGAGTTTTTTCTCACTCAGTGGAAGCCCTCACTGGAGTCAGCAGTGTCTTGATATGTCTTGGCTTTACTTTTAGGGAGCAGTGAGGTCATCCACCTTTATAAATAGTCTACTGCCAGCTTGCTGGAGAACATGTGAAATACTCTAAACTGAACTGAATAAAGTGATGCAGCAGAGTAATTTACGATTTCCAACTCATTCCTTTTAAAAATGGACATTCACCAGCACACATAAATAAACGTTTACATTGATACGTATATTTGTACATATATTTATTATTATTTTCAGATGTAGCCATTCTTGTATTTTGCTTGTTTACATTCTTGTATTTTGCTTGTTTACATTATTGTATTTTGCACAACTCTGTTGCTTGTGAAGCTCGCACACAAGAATTTCACTCACATGTGCTGTACCAATGTACCTGCACATGTGATGTGACAATAAAAGTGATTTGATTTGATTTGATTTGATCCCCAGCAGGTTATATGAGGTCATGTGGCCCGCTGCATGTGGAGCAGACGAGGCTGAGAACTAAAACTTTTGGAGTAACGGTGGACTTGCTCCCATTGAACTCCCACTAAAAACTTTGTTGTTGTGAAGCACTTTGCAATATTTATCTTCAGTCATCTTAAGTCATAATTTCATTTGTACTTACTTACTTAGAATAAGTAACAGATTACAAATATGGACAAAACAAAGCGCTGGTATCAGACTTGGTTTTGGCACTGATAACTTTATTTTAAAATGCACAGTTGCAAATTGGTCCACAGTTTTGATGTGAACCAGTCCTATCCTATCTTCAGTCATCCGCAAAACCGCAACAACATTTTTCCAAAGTTTAAGCTTTGGAAAAATGGATTTCAAAAAACAAAAAGTCCTGATCAAAGACAACAGACCGAACGAGGTCTCAGCAGGATTTATACGTGATGAACGACATTTTAAAACGACCTCTAGTTCATGCAGGGAAGCAAGAATATGGGTGATGTGGCGTTTGGCTGCTGCATCTAAACCAACCAGAGGACTTAGAAACACGCATGAACAATGAGTTCAAATAATCGAGATGGGAGAAAATAAAAGTTCCAACTTGTTAAATGACAGCAGAGGTTTGATTTGTGCTTCTTAGATGAAATAAATGAGACTGGGTGAGCTCGGAGATCACAAAATTTTAATTCTTGTCAAAGATTTCAAGGAGGTGATTTGAGGTCGCCGGAGAAGCTAAACACAGCCAAACACAACAAGGTCAGCTGTGATGGTAAAACTGAGGATTATTAATGGTGAAGCGCTGAGGCACTACTGTTTATCTTCAATATAGCTGAAGTACGAATTAATGAGCCTGTTAAGATGACCCGAGGGTAAGAAGTAAAACAGCTGGTCCCAGGGTTGAGCCCTCAGTGCATAACATTATGTTTCATTAGAAGATGCTTTCATTTAGCATATTTCTCAAGAGTGACAAGATTTTTGTTTTCCCCCTGTGTTTACTTTCACCAAAAATCTCGGCAAACAGGACTTTAGCTCACATGCTTTTTAAAAATGCATTTGTGCTGATCTACTTTTTTTATTATTATTATTATTATTCTTGACTAACATCTAATAATAATTACTTCTCACATCATTTGGTTCTTTGGTGTTCAGAGTTCACCAAGAAGTTTCAAGTGCTGCAAAGAGAGCTATCAGTTCTGTGAACATCAAAACAAACCAGGAAACAGTGTTGTTGCACGCTGCATTCTCACTTTGTAAAGATAGCGTAGGGGTTTGATGTGTGTGTGTTTGTGTGCGTGGGGGGCATGCCTTGCTCTGTGCTGCGCTGCTAACTTCCTGCTTTACAAGCAGAGCTGCTGCAGTTGAGATTCTGCTCTTGTGTTGTTTTCAGGGGGACAGTGTTGATGTCAAGGCTCTGAGAGCCAAGTTCAACAGCAAATCCAGCACCTCGGATACCAGCAGCCGGGACAGCGGCTCGCCGAAATCTCCTCGACCTGGGTTTGGGAGAGCCATTCTTCCAGTGGCAGAGAGCGAGCTGACACAGAGACTTTCACCCACGATTCCTCCTCATCTGGCTGGCCCAGGCCCGGTGAGACTCCCGAGAATTGAGCCGATGGCGGCTTCGATCCCTCCCAGACCGGGTTCGTTCCCTCGACCGCCTGCCTATGCTGGACTCAGAACCCCCATTCAGCCAACAGATGCTACCAAAGTCAAGCAGACGGGGGAGATGCTACAGAACATGATGCTGAGGCATCAGAAGTCCCCGGTCCCTCAGGTCCCCCAGGTACCCCAGGTACCCCAGGTACCCCGACTAGGAGCTGGAAGCTCAGCTCCTGTTCCACCTCCCACCTCTACCCCTCTTCCACTCAGACAGCAGCCTCGACAGAGGAGCGCGGGGGAAGTGACCCCACTGAGGAGGCCTCTGCCCCCTGAAGGACCGATGCCCGTGAAACCTAAAAGACCTCCGACTGTCAACTTGGAGCCGTTTCGGAGGAACAGGAGAGGGCTTCCTCCTGCTCTTCCTGCCCCGAGGACGAGTGATGGTAAGTCTGTCTGGTTCAGGTGTTCAAGTCCCTTAATAAGGTGCGCCATCATATTAAGTTAACACAGTAAGTGAGACCATCTTGACTTGTTTGTGTTGGCTGTACTGTGACTGTGGCTGGTGTATAGTTTATGGTAAAATGGTAAATGGCCTGCATTTGTATAGCGCTATACACTACATTCAGTCATTCACCCATTCACACACACATTCACACACTGGTGATGGCAAGCTACATTGTAGCCACAGCTGCCCTGGGGCGCTCCTAACTGAACTCCCAGAATACAAATAATAAAATGAATGATGACTAACTTCCTTTGAGCTGCTCAGTTAAGTGGACCTGATGTTCTTCACGCTGTCATGTCCTGTCACGGAGATGGACAGAAACATAACCGTGTCTTTAATTTTCTTGCTACGATGGCTGAAAATGTCAGAATTGTCCAAATCAAATCTAAAAGGGACAACAGCAATCTGCGGTGAGGTTCAGCTCCGAACGTAAATCAAGCATTAAGTCTGATTTATTGGAAGATAAATCAGACTCTTAAAAGGAGGAGAGCCTTTTAAAAACAATCTGTTTTTAAATCTTGTAATGAGACAGATTCTGACACTGACAGTCCTCAGTGTGCTTTGTCAGTGACAAAAATGTGCTAAAAACTTGATTTGTTCAACCACTTTAAAGGAAAAAGCAGAACACTCAAACAGAGCACCAAACAGAGCACCAAACACCGCGTGTGTAAAGCAGTAATTTCTGCTGTTTGTGTGATTGCTTTTTGTGGGATTACACTTCTTTCATCCATTTCATTTTGTCGTAACGTCATTGTGCAAAGATTTTTTTCTCTGCTACTCTTTGTAGGCTCAGGAAGCAGAAGGATGTCTTTACCTGTAGCACCACCGGCAGTGGTCAGTCCTCCAAAACCTCCACAACGCTCTGACAAACCCAACAGACTGCAGCGGCAGATTGCCTCTGCGTAAGTATTTGGGTTAACACAACGATGATGTGAAGCCCTGTTATGTCTGGTTTTGAGCCTCTTATGTAAGAGGCCCAGTGCTGCTGAACTAATGCAAAGGAAACTGTGTGAAACTCTTAGTGTTTTAAACCAAGTATTATAGGACACCTTAGTTTCAGCTTTCAAATGACTTCATTTACATCTAGTGCGGGCAAGAGATGCTGAAGAATTACGAAGCAGAGGGTTTACCGCTGCTGCAGTCGTGACCCGAGATTAGAAAATATGTGTGAGGATTCGCCTGTTGCACAGCAACACTGTTTCTCAAAATGCATTTTGAACACACCTAAGTATACTTTCAAAGAAAAACCTTATTGACCGGAATATGGTTTTAACAGTCAAATTAAGCTTTTTCCTACTGAGTGAATACAGATGTAACAAAGCACTTGCTGACCAGTAATCAGAGAAACCTGTCTGATTGTCGATTTCAGGGATCTGGACGAAGACGAACAGGATCCCTATGACGATATCGACATTGACAAAAATGGTGAAGACTTGTTTTGTTCTTGAAGCTTCTCTGACACATTGTCTGAGCTATAGTCACTGCTTGGTATTTTTAACATTGTGTTTTCTATTAGAGGACATGCCCTGTTTTCACATATCGGTTTATAATTTATATTTTGCGTTACTTTACAGAGAACTGCAGCGAACACAGTTCACAGTGTGTTGATGGGGTGAGTAAAGAAAAGCAAAAACGAAAAATTTACCACCGTGGAAGTCTCGCTTTGCAAGAACATAGTGCACATTTCCCTGAATCTGTTAATAGACTAGGTTTAAAACCAACATTGCACTCTTAGAAAATAATAAGGCACAAAAAATAAACAGCTCTGATCATTTTTTGATTTAAGCTTTGAAAATCTACAAAAAGGCATTCTTTTATCAGAAGTAATCAGAAGTGCCGCTTTTATCTAATAATCCCGTACAAGATGACTTGTCTTTGCTCTTTACGGGTACAAATAAAAGCTTTTCTCTTGCAGGATGATGACGACGAGGTGTATGAGATGATTGATGAGTAAGTATGAATGTTCTGCCTTCCCCATTAAACCACCGAGTCTCTATTTAATAGAAATGTGGCTGCAGCTGCATGAACAGAAAGCAGTCTACAGTTTCTATTGTTTCTGTTGCTGCTTCTGTTATTTTTGCACCTCATAAGTGATCTGTGGTGCAGTATTTAAGTTACAGTGCAACAAATGGTACCTTGGTACGATATCTACATCTTTATTTATCGTTTACTATAAAGAGTAAGTCACACTCATTTCCTGTGATTCAACATACAGAATTTCCTGTTAAAGCAAAACATTGTGACTGAATTCAGGCAACGTCTGTCGAAATGTGGGAAGACTGGAGAACTTGAAAAACTTTTTGTGTAAAACGCTTATGTGTGAAACATTTATCTGCCCAGAAAACGAAAAATAAAGGCACCTAACTCAAAATTTGTGAAGGGGGAATTCTTTTAAAAGGTGGCCGGTCTTCGTTTGTTTATTTGATTCTTCTCTTATAGGGAGCAAGAGAAAGCCACCATGAAAGAAGTTAAGAAGAAACAGGAGAAGGACATGAAAGAGATTCAGAAAAAAATGAGTGAGCTCAAGAAGAAATTTCAGGTAAAGACACGGAGAGAGAAAAGATGACTTTTAAGTTAGCCTGAATGGTTAATGGTTAAGTTATCCTGCTCCGCCTCATCCCTTTGGTGTAAACGTTATACCTTTCCCCCGTGCAGTTACAAGGAGAGATAGAGGTTATTCACACCGCCAAAGTCCGGTACGACTGGAATGGGGAAGGGAAACTGGACCTGAGCGTGCACCAGGGGGACAGCGTGGAGATCCTCCGTGTGACGGGTAACCCGGGAGGCAGATGGTTGGCACGCACTATGAATGGAAACTGTAAGTTTACATTTCAGTCAATCACATAAAGAAAGCCTTTGAATAAATTGACTTGTACCAAAATATCAAAAGAAAAAAGAAAGCAAACAAAGTAGAGACTTCTGCATCAAAGTTTTCCATCTGAAACACTGGTTATTGTCGTCGGTGGTGATATTATCGTAGCTGTGGTTCAAGAGATGAAGCAGGGCGTCTACCAATCGGAAGTCTTGATGGTTTGATCTCCGGCTCCTCCAGTCTGCATATCAAAGTATCCTGGTGCAGAGTGTGTGTGTGAGAATTAGGCAATAATTAGGCTTAGAGTGAAGGACTGTATGAAGGTGTGTGTGACTGGGTAAGTGAGTTGCTTGGTGAGGACCTCTTGGCGTCGGATTTTAGCACAAGGTCCCTCTTTCATGTCAGATTTATTCAGTTTCTTCCTACTGATTTTTTTTTTCATTTGTTCATCAAAAAAGCAAAGTAATGCCAGTAACTGACAAATGAAAACTCAAATAATGCAGCTTTCGCACTTTTCCCCCCGAAAGTCGTTAATTACGGTACTTCCTTCTGTAAGATATTTTTTCTGTTCCTTACTTCCTCAAAGGGCTCTGGCAACAACTTTTCACTTTATTTATTTATTTTACTATGTCCTCAAAAATACAAAGTATCTGCAACTGAGCATTTGAGACCATAAGGTCTAAAGTATCACAAAGTTACAATGTAAACAAAATGCAGTTAGTGTGAGAGAACTTTAGCACATTATGGTGTAAGCGTGCTTATGTAGCAGGAGAATGATGCTGTTGCTCCCTCTGCACGGATTCATTTAACAATAGTTGAACTCTCATATGGAACTGAGAAACAACTGCTTCCTGTGTTAATGTTAGAAATGCAGACTCTGGATATAAATATACATTCACTGCTCACTTTGTTAGGTACCCCTTTGGATGTGCCTGTGATCTTAGAATATCTTTAATTCTTTGTGAAATTGAGCAGAAATTCAACACGACTCCTTGGAGATTTTGGTGCAGTTGATCCAGATTTGTAGCTGTGCATCCGTAATGTCTCCCATTCAATCACATCCCAAAGGTGCTCTACTGGATTGACATCTACTGACTGTGGAGTCTATCTGAATACAATGAACTAATTGTCATATATTTGAGCTTTGTGACTTGTTCCTGCTGGAAGCACCAAAGAATACTCAGTTGGTACTCAAGATCCCAAACTGTGCCCCCACCATGAAGAGAAGCCTGAGCCATTGATACAATCGATCCATGCTTTCAAGGTGTTTATCCCAAATTCTGATTCTACTACCATAACGTGGCAGCAGAGATCAGGACTCATCATCAGACTAGACTTTTATCCAATCTTCTGTTGTTCAGTTTTGGTGAGCTCGTGTTAATTGTGGCCACAGTTTCCTGTTCTTAGCTGACAGGATTGCCAACCAGTGTGGTCTTCTGCTACTGTACCCCATGTGCTTCAAGGTATAACATGTTGTGTTGAAAGATGCTCTTCTGCATCCTCTGATTGTCATAAGTGGTTATTTCCGTGACTGTTGTGTTTTAATCAGCTCAAAGCAGTCTGGCTATTCCCCTCTGACCTCAATAAGGCATTCTCACCCAGAGGACTGCCATTCACTGGATATTTTCTCTTTTTTGGACCACTATCTGGGAAAATCCTGGCACCAACAACCATGCCATGTTCAAAGACACTTGATTCATCTTTCTTCTAGGATTCTGTGCTGTGGCTATTTAGCATAAATCTAGTTTTATTAAGTAATAAAATAAGTAATAATCATCTAATATACAGATCAGATTCTGGGTATTAGATGATTATGTGTGGCTAATACGTATCGTATAATCATGAAATGTCACAATCAAGCCACAGTGCTTCATTTTGTTGTTGCACTTCTCTGCAGATGGATACATCAACAACTCGTGTGTGGATATTGACTATGAAGCAGTGAAGATCAAACACGGGTACAAAAAATCAAACTCACAAGCGTTACCTCCACCACCCCCGGACCCACCACAGATCTTTAATATGGACTCCAACAACAGAGACAGGTGCAGGATAAGAGATTGCTAATTCTGCTGCAGCTTCACATCTGTTCAGTTGAATTTCATTTTCAGTTTTACTCACGTCTCTTCCAACTAAACCCTTGTTTGTATGTTTCCTCTAACTTGCAGCCTGATTCAAGATGAGGGTAAGTGACTGCAGACCACAGTGAAGTGCAAATAACAATCTATGCCAAGTTAAGATGATATAAAAATACAAAAGGATTTTTCTCTTGTATTTTTCTCTAGTGGAAAAATGTATAGGGATATATTTGGTGCCTAATTTGTCTTTTCTAGAACGTTTCTATGAGCTACTTGGCAATCTTGCAGTATGCAAGTGATAGCTATGTACTTTTAAAAAAATTTAGTTTTAATGACAAATATTTGAAACAGTTTCTTTCATCAGATAATATTTATTATTATTTCTTATTATGTAGCATTTATTATTTACTATTATTTATTCCTTTTAGCATCTGTTTTATGGACTTTTTTTTTTGGTTCTCAGATGACTATGATGATGTCCAACCACTACCTGAAGATTTCCCACCTCCGCCACCTGAAATCAGGTATCAGTTAACCCCCAATTAATTTGAAGAAGGCTGAGATATTGATATTAGTGAATTTTCATCATAAAAATAACTTTTACGTGTGCAGATCTAGTCACTGATGACATCAGATGGTGTTAAAGAAAAACAAAATTTAACAATGAGGAAATTGATAATGAATTCATTTGTGATTAACTGTTATACCATATTATATTTTTCAGCATAGACCCCAAAGTGGAGAAGGATTTGAAAAAAAAATTTAAGGTAAACCTTTTTAAAAACTTTGCAGAGTGCCATCTGCATTGCAATCAATTCAGATGTTTGTTTGTTTTTTACTCATGCAATGGGAATCGCCCTTTTCATTTTTTTTAAATTCGACCACTGTGACTGTTTCCCAGTATGATGGACCACTCAGGGTGCTGCACACCATGTTAGTGGATCCTAACTCCATCATAAAGAAACCAGGAGCAAAAGATCTGCCTGTAACACAGGGAGAGATTGTGGATGTCATCCAGCTCACCAACAGCAAGAAAGCTCTGTGTCGCAACAGGTTTGGGAAATGTATGTAAAACCATCAGCATCTCATTCACTTTTGTAATTGTAATTTGTAGAATTTGCAGTTCATTGGTTTAAGAAAACATGAAGTACTCTGGGATTTTGTTTGTTTGTCCTTTTTCAAATATATGATGTCATGAGCTTTTCTTACTGTTCTTTTCATATGTCGTTCATTATGGCCTCTGGAAAAAGAAAAAAATTTCCTGTAAAAGATGTACGCATCTTCTAAACCTTTCGTAGAAGAGGCTTTATAATTAAAACATTTCAGCCATTTGTATGTTTATGTGTTTGAACATGGCCCAGATGTAGTCAATGGTGACTTAAAGACAATGTTAAAAACAAAGATTAGACAAGAAACTGCTGCGAAGATTATAATAATAATAATAATAAGAGCATGCTGAAAAACAAAACAAAACAGTGTAATCATATTCCCAAAAATATTAATTAACTAAATAAAAAATTACCCCAAATGAAAGCCAAATAAAACATTATTTCTAGTAATAATAAAAGGGGATGTCACACAGTTTTAGTTTATTTCTTTATTATTTATAATTATTATAAAATGACATCTTCTCTCTCTACAGCACAGTATTTGCTGAATATGTTGATCTGCTGCTGCTTGATGAAAAATCAGGCCATTGACATTTCTTCCTATATCCTTTCTTGTTGGTTAAACCTGACCCAAATATTACCATAAAACTTAAGATATTTCAATAAAACACAAATTTGTGCCACAGAAAGATAAAGCCAAGAGAACAACAAAGTTACAAGAATTTACTCCTTTATAAGGACTGATGTTCAATGAAAGTCTTTAAAACATAGTGTCACAGTCACAGCAAAGAGGGATCCAAATGCAGGATATGCAGACAAAGTATAAAAAAAAATAACTGTTAATTAGACTGACGGTAGAAGTCTATGGACAAAAGAAGCAAAATTCACAGTAACACATAAAAACAGCAAACTCTTAAAGAAACACATGAAGCACACAATTATAACAACAACAACAAAAGAAAAGACACTGACAATGACTGTAGGGAGACTAGTGATATATATGCACTAATGAGGTAATCAGGGAGAATGGAAACACTAGAGTAACAAAACACAGCTGAAGCTAATCAAGGTAATGACAAAGAAAGAAAAATGAAATATAAGACACGGGAGACAAACGCCTACCAAAATAAAAGAGGAAGCGTTATTACACAGCGACAAGGACTTGACAACATGACACAAGAAGATTAAGATTTGACAGGATACAAGAAGATACAGTACTAGTGAGGATGAACTAACATATGCCAATACATGAATGAACTCCACAGAGAACAATCCCTCTAACCTAAGTAAAGATGTACTGGTGGACTCCACCTTGATTTTGAGGTCACGTCACTGGGATTCGAACTCGTTTGAGATTTTTAGTAGCTACACCTACGCTATATAAAATTGAAACTCCTACGTCGGCTCGGTCTCAAGCTATCACATTCACATCGCCTGCCAGCCCAGCAGGGCAACAACAATACCCATCGGCCTTTTAAGTCTTTATGGAGTAATAAAAACACAACACAGATCATTTTTGTGTAGTAATATCAGACAATAATTCAAAAAGTATTTCAATATTTCAAATAATGATAATAAATAGTGATAATTTCTGTGCTGTCTCCTGTTTCACAGATGGTTATGTGTCCAGATCTCTTCTTCTTCCAATGTAAGTGAATCCTCCTGACTTCATATGTGACTGACTATATCAATGTACTTCCTTAAAGTGTAAAGAAGTAATAAATCACACTAAATGTGTGTTTTTTGAAGATTGTCAAAGATAAAGCTTAGTGTATGAAATGTATAATATAAGGGTCATTGATGTGCACATCTGTGTGTCCGAGTGCATGATACTGTTTAAAAAGATCTGTTGAAACTAATTTAATCCGATCATTGCATCCCATCCCACCCTTCCCATCTTTGAAATTAAAACTAATACTAATGTAGTAGACAGTGTTAGAGGTTTAAATAGCATTAATTTAATTGCTTTTTTTTTTTTTTGCACTTTTTTCGTGACATATAGCGTTTGCCTCCTGAGTTTTGCAAATATTTTCATTTTATACAGGCTGTTACTTGAACACCTGTATTGAAGGACAAAAGAATTTGAAATTTTATAACTAAACATATTCCTAGTTTTACATTGGTTGCCCCCCGACCTGGCAAGTATATTTGCATGTATACTAGATGTGTGAGGACACACGCTGTCTGTGTGCATGCGAAGCAATGTGCAAGCTAGGATTGTGTCATTTTTTCATTACAACATGCAGAACAGGAAGTAGAAACCTTTTAAGTGGAATTCAGATACACACAAATGTGCTTAACCACCTAAAAGTTTGATTTCTTCAATTATTTACTGATTTATATAATTATTAATGTATTGCTAAAAGTGCATTAAACTGCACGTCTCCTTTCTTTAGCTTTATATTATTCTGGGTCCTATTAATAGGTTGAGACAGATTCTTCAACATTAGGCAGTCGATCACAGTAACAAATAAGATTGATAACAGGGGAAAGAATAATATCCTCTGGAAGGGGAAACCTCACTTAAAGTGTAGAGTGCCCGTCTAGATGAGCTGATGTTTCCCTTCCCACAGCTTCAGCAGCTTCCACAATGCTTATTATCCACAGCAGACTTCAGGCATTGTCTTTTTCCCCCGATTCCGGCTCCTCTGAGCTTTCACTTTTCTTCTATTCTTCTTGTTTCTGTGTTTATGAAATAGGAGTACATACGAATGAGGATCATTTTATCACATTAAATCGTTTTGTTATCAAGCAAGAGCCAAGATGAAAAATCATAAATAACCATTAAAAAAATGTAACAAAAGTTATTACAGTTTTGTATTTTCTAATTTGTTTTTAGCTTTATTTATTTATTTATTTTTTAATTTTAACTTTAAAAAAAATTCAGTCTAGCTTCAGTTCATTTCAGGAGCCAGTTTGCTTGTTTCAGTTTAGTTTCAATTGCTTAAAATGTTTAGTTTTGCTTCAGTTTTTATTAGTTTCAGTGTTCGTTTTAATCCTTTATTTAGTGTTTCTGGCGAACAGAAGCAAGAGACAGGAAACCCAGTAAAACACAAAAATCCAAAACACACAAACTGCCCATCAAATCCTCATCAGCCAAATGCTAATAATACGTTTTACAAAATGTACAAGTGCTAAAACTAAAGATACTCGCTTCATGTTTTTGTTTTATTTTAGCTTTGTCTTTTTTCTGAAAGTCTAGTTTTTATTTTTATTTTAGTTGAATAAAATGTTTTTTTCACATGTAGTCTTAGTGAAACTGTCTTTTACAAATCTTATCTAAATATCCAAGCCTTGTTTTTGTCCGGGCCTCAGAAGCATATATTATTATTGAAAATCTATTCATGTATTCATAAACTAACATTAAAACTGAAATTATCCACTCAATTACAAAAAAATATGCACGTCACAGCAATGGCTTGTATATAACCATCTTTTCTGCTTTTAACTAGTTTAGTTTAAACCTTGTTGATGAAGCTTATGGAATATCACAAGTTCCAAATATTCTTTTGCAGGGAACAAGACATTTATGATGACGTCGACTATGCAGATGGTAAGTTTCCGTTTTTATACTCTGCAGTAAAATCCAGTCAGACTGAGCTTTTGTCATTTGTAATTGAAGTGCAAGTATAAAGGCGCATTTTCTTTCTCTGTTTTGTTTCAGATGTCTACGACAACGATTCTCTGTAACATGATTATTAAAGTGTATCAAACTAAACATACAAGAGAGAAAAGGAAACAAACAAACCAAACATTTTTTACCTTTATCGAACTATAACCAAAAACTGGATGCTAGAAAATCAAGTAAAGACAGAATCTGTCTGGATACAGATGCTTTATTTGATTGCACAAACTTCAGAAATGTGTTGAAAAGTCACAGGTTTGTAGAGTTTCTGTAGATTTGTTTGTGCTAAGCTGTATAAAAGTTCAAACTTAATTCAACTGTGTAATTATTCAAACTGACAAAATCAAACGATATATCAAACTTAAATATAAATATAATAATTTATAAGGACTTGGGGTTTTTTTTTCCACAAAAGGTCACTCATAATAAGACTGTGTAAACAAACTTACTGTAAACCTTCACTCACCTGCCACTATATTACCTGCTCAACGTGTCAACACGTGATGTCACAAAGCTCACTCTACTCAAATGGCCTCCACAGTCACCAGATCTCGGTCCTGTTCATGGACTCACAGACTCACAGCATGGATGTGCAGCCAACAAAATCTGCAGTGACACTTGAATCTCTGCCATAAAGAATTAAAGTGGTTTTAAAAACAAAATGTGGGCTGGAACCTTATATTAGTAATGTATAGCTAATAAAGTGGCTGGTGAGTGTAAGTGCACACAGATTGTCGAGGGTCAACAAACTCATCAGTGTTTGTCAAAGTGCTTGTATAGAAAATAAATACACTATTACTGTTGATGTGTGTATTTTTCACCCTCTGAGATAATTTAAATAAAATAGTTTTTATCTGATGATTGATTGTTTTGTTTGTTCCTTAATAAAAATAAAAACAGAGCTCAACTAGTGAAAATGTTTGATTATGTTTAGTCAAATGGGAGTTAAAGTCCTTTCCTGCTGTGCTAAAGTTGATTTTCTAGAAAGACTGAGAGGTTTGCCATCACTAAGGTGAGGACAGCTACACATTATCTGTCTGGGTAGGTTTACAATGTAGCTTGCCCTCACCAGTGTGTCAATGTGTGTGTGAATGGGTGGATGACTGGTTGTGTAAAGCGCTTTGGGGTCCTTAGGGACTAGTAAAGCGCTATACAAATACAGGCCATTTACCATTTACCATTTTACATCAAAGCTGAAATAACTCAGCAGTTCTATTCAATTCAATTTCATTTATACAGCTCCAAATCACAACAACAGTCTCAAGGTGCTTTATATTGTAAGGTAGACCCTACAATAATACATACAGAGAAAAACCCCAAAATCAAATGACCCCCTATGAGCAAGCACTTTGGCAACAGTGGGAAGGAAAAACTTCCTTTTAACAGGAAGAAACCTCCAGCAGAACCAGGCTCAGGGAGGGGCGGCCATCTCCCGGGACCGGTTGGGGTGAGAGAAGGAAGACAGGATAAAAAACATGCTGTGAAAGAGAGACAGAGATTAGTAACAAGTATGATTCAATGCAGAGAGGTCTATTAACACAAAGTGAGTGAGGAAAAAGCGCCCAGTGCATCATGGGAATCCCCCAGCAGCCTACACCTATTGCAGCATAACTAAGGGAGGATTCAGGGTCACCTGGCTGGTCCAGCCCTAACTATATAACTTAGCAAAAAGGAAAGTTTTAAGCCTAATCTTAAAAGTAGAGATAGTGTCTGTCTCCTGAATCCAAACTGGAAGCTGGTTCCACAGAAGAGGGGCCTGAAAACTGAAGGCTCTGCCTCCCATTCTACTTTTAAATACTCCAGGAACAACACACAGGCCTTTGTTTCTGTTTCCATCTTGTGGTGAAACCTCTCACCTGCATCCTGCAGAACACTCGAGAAGCGCTTTGCAGACAGAATGAGGTTTATGTCCATCTCGTCTAAAAGTATTTTCCTTTCATCCACAGTCATAAACCATAAATATTTATAGATGTTTGCTTTTTATTAAGAAATGCTTAGTTTGTACTGATACTTATTTATTCTTTAAATTAAACCCTCTTAATGCAACAATATTCATAATGCTGAAAAAAAAAACTAACAAATATTAAACTATATTTGAAGTCATTCAAGTTCTTCCAAAACTGATTTAAAGCTCATCATTTATGTCAACAATGCATGTGTTTAAGCAGAGACACTGAAGAACAACAAAAATATTCAAAATGTCCAAATACTTTCTGTCTGGGCTGAATATTTGTTATTTAGTTTTTAGTTTCTGTCCAAATGCTTCTACCTGTGGCTCTTATTTATTCTTATTTTTATTATCATTTTGTTGATGCTGGTTGAGACAGAGAAATGTGGAAAGCCCAGTCACAATAAACATACAAACAAATCCCTCCTCATGCTAATAAAATAAAAAATACAGCCATATTTTAGAAATCTTTAGAAAACTTAAAGTAAAAATGATACCACTATTTATGAAGTTAATAACAAACTGAATTTCCGTTTTCATCCCCTAAGGCAGCCCGCTGGACTTTAAGACAACCATGATATCAGACTACTAATTTTATGTTTGTTATGTGACGGCTGTGTGAAGGCAGGAGAAGGACCCAAAGTGCAGACTCCGGAGAGTAACTCAAAACACAGCTTTAATGCTGAACTCAAGAGGGTATCAAAACTAGGAATACGCTTACACAGACAGACCACACAGCTAGATAAGGGTAGATCGCAACACAGACAGAGAGAAACACAGGGCTTAAATACACAGAGGGAACAATCAGGGAATAGGTAACAGGAGGGAAACACAGCTGGGGCAAATCAGGCCTAACGAGACAAGGGGAAGCAAAACCAGATACATTAACATCAGACATGGACCTTCAAAATAAAAAAGGGGAAAACTAACACAGACTGAACTAAAGACAGACTCACATGCAGGCACTGCAACGAAGGGAACAAAGACATGGTACCAGGGCAGACAGACACTGACTGGACACGGGGATATAGCAACTAAGGATTACACAGAGACATAAACCATAAGACATAACTCTAACGAAGAAACCAAAGAATAGAAATGATAAATAATAAAATAAACTCAAAACCCTGGGTCAACGACCCAGGCATCCTAACAATGTTCAGCAATGAAAGTAAGTAACTTTAATTTCTTCATCAAAACAACAATAATGTTGTGCTTTACTTTATTTCACGCTTCTTCGTTTTGTTTCGTTTTTTTTTTTTTTTTTTTTTGGTTGGTTTTTGTAAAACTGTAAATTTGAAAATTCATGGATAATAACTATAATAATATTTTATCGTTAAAAATATAATTTCAATTAGAGCTTGCACATGCAAGTGGATTAACCATCGCAGAAACAAAAATATAATTACAGTACTGTAATATATCATAGATAGATAGAATCAGAATCAGAATCGTGTTTATTGGCCAAGTATATGTGCAGACACATACAGGGAATTTGGTTCCGGTAGATGGTGGCTCTCAAGCACAGCAATGTAAATCACACACACACACACACACACACACACACACACACACACACACACACACACACACACACACACGTGTCTATATATACACATTACACATACATACACAAAGCTGTGTAAACCAACTATAAATAACGAATCTAAACTTATATACATAAAATACAGAAATGAATGAGGTGGAATGAATACTACAAAATGTACATAAGGTGCAGCTGCAGTCTGGCAGTGGGAGCAGTGTGACAGGTCAACTGTTAAGAAGGGAGATGGCGAGGGGAAAGAAACTGTTCCTGTGTCGGGTGGTCCTGGTCTGCAGGCTTCTGTACCGTCTGCCAGAGGGCAGCAGATCAAAAAGTCTGTGTGCAGGGTGTGAGGGGTCTGTGATGATTTTCCCTGCCCGTTTCCTGGTTCTTGAGAGGTACAGATCCTGGATGGAGGGCAGGGGGGGTAGATCGATAGCTAGTGGTGTTGTTTCGTGGTGGTTGTACTTGCTTTTACTTAAGTGTGCTACTTTAAAGAAAATGATTTTAATTTGATTTGCATATTTGCAGACATTTAGTATATTTACATTTGACATTAATCCACAGCATAATATTGTGTCAGCCCCACCCCACACACACACACACACACACACACACACACACACACACACACCATTTATTTATTTATTTATTTTTAATCAATTCCAGCTCCTGGCCGAACGAAGGAGACGCTCGATTGAATCGACGATCTTCTACTTGAGTCTGCTTTGGGTGCTTCCTGTTTCAAAGTCCAGCTGAGGGAACAGATCACGAGCAAAAACAGCAAATCTAACTGGAGATGGTGTTGGCCTAATAGACTTTCTTATAAATCTAGCAGCGCTTCGACAGAGCGGAGCAGACATGCAGCGGTCTCTGGAGTCTCTGGTGCAGCTGCTGGAGTCCTACAGAGGCAGAGATAAAGTCGTGAGTATTCACTCGGTCACATTGTATCTGTTTAAAGTGTTTCACTCGGTATAAACCATTAATAAAAACAGTGGTTACACGCTTACGAAGTGGATGCCAAGTGGAGACTGATATGTAAGTACTAGACTGTGGTTCTATAGAAACTGCTCATATTTGGTGTTGTTACATTACTTAAGAGCAATGAGCAAACATGCTCTGCGTTAGTTAAATTTAAAGCATCAGCCTAGTAAAGTATGTCTGCCTGAAGTCCACACATTCACTAAATCTCTGACAATAAAATGTCCTTTCTGATTTTAAATAATAATAAAAAGCTACCCACAAGTCTCTGTTTGTCTTCTTTGCAGATCAGGACAGTGTGTTATGGATCCCAGCTGGTTGGAGGAGTTCTTTCCCGGAGAGCAGAGGCAGATGTCCGGTCCCAGCGGCTCGGGAAAAGCCTGCTGCTGTTTTCTGCTCAGCTCAGTCACTGCAGGACGGTGCTCAGGTTGTTCGATGACCTCTCCATGCTGGCCTACTCCCACAGCTACGGGTTTGGAAATGGGGTGATTCACACAGCGTATGCACTGCATCACTCTGTGCTAGCCTGTAAATCCCACTGTAACGCTTGTTGCACGTCTTTCCAAGGAGGAGGACGCGGCCGTGCGCTGGATATCCGTGCTGAACAACGTGGCGGACCAGCTGTACTACCCCTGTGAACACATCGCCTGGGCCGCCGACGCCGAGCTCATCAGAGTGAAGTCCGATAAGTGGTGGCTGTTCAGCACAGTGCTGTGGGGAACCTCACTGCTGCTGGGAATCCTCAGGTGAGATCACCTGTTCACATCCATACATTACTTTTCTAATGCTGCCTTTATGGCATGCTTTTCTTATTTTTGTTTTTTAAAGGCCAGAAAGAAGGAGTCTTATGTAGTTTTTCTGCAGCTGTAAATGTATGCAGGACATCTGCTGGCCAGAGCTCCTTTAAAGAACATGCATAGACAAACAGCCCGTATCTGTCTCTCTGTGTTAGCCCTTTTTCTGGTGAATTTGTGCCTTTTTCAAATCCATAAATCTTCAGTGGGAACTGAAAGGGGAGGGGGATGTGAGAGGAAAGTCAGAGAGAGATTAAGTCAAGCACTTCTACGTCCTACTTACATAATGACCAGAAACTCCTTCTGTCCCTACAACCACAACCTTTCACGGCACAGTCATTGTGATATGCGTCAACCCAACATGTAGTTTCTGTAGCATTTCTCCGGGGGGTGTGCGTCAGGTTAAATTGAATTACATTATGGAAAATCAATAATGATGCCGGGTTAATTTCATTATCCCATCTCTTTTTTTCCTCAGCTTAGAGCTTTGTTTATTTTCCAGACCCTCTTTCTTTTTTATCTCATCTGTTATTTCATGCAGTTTGTAGAGAAACCTGTGAAGCATGTTTTAAGTCTGAGCACTGAAGCAGACATCAAACCCTTGCAGTGTGAGTTGATGTACGATGTGAATCATTTGTCCTCTAGATCGCTCCGAGTTCTTCTGCTGCTGAGGAAGAAGCTGAAGAAGAGGCACGAAGGCAGAAACAGGTATTTGATTCAGTTTTCTTTCTGTTGTCTCGTGTGTTTCTAAGCACAGTTACAGTAACATAGAGAGGGACTGACCGGTTATGAAAGGTTAAACCACACGTTTTCTCCTGCAGTCGCTCTCAGCTCCGCCGGCAGATGCGAGGGGAGCTGCTGTCCATC